GGTGTTAGGGAGCCTATCTCAATGTTCCATTTAGGACCCGACTAAATACCTGGCAACGCAATGGTGACTGGAGACCAGTTAAACTGTTCCTCAAAGTGTTCTGCTCATCGTCCCAGTTGTCTCCCCTGTGAGAGAATCGCAGATCCGTCCTTCTCCGCTATAGCCACACTAACCGTTGTTGACCTTTCCCCCCCCAGTTTCCTTATTGAGTCTAAATAACTGTCTACTGTTAGCAATCGCCGTTATCTTTTCCATCTCTTTAGCCTTCGCTGCCCACCACTGTTTTGCGGTCGTTGCATAGACTTTTTCTCAATCTACTTTTAAGTTGCGCCCACCCTTCTTTGTACTCAGAACGTGCAAGGATGCGTTCACGTGCATCCATTAGTTTATAAGAAGCTGCTGATATCCACTGGCTCTTTTTAGCCAGTCTTTCGGAGTCGGTTACGGTCTTCAGCGCTGCTTTTACAGTAGGCTGGAGATGAGTGACTGTATGAGTGATAGTCTTTTGTTCCGATAACTGCCTAGTCAACTTCTCACTGAACACGGCTTTGGTGTTTTCGTTGTCAAGCAGCACCTATAGTGGTTGTGTCGGAAAGTTTTTCTTGAGTCCACTGAGACGCAGGCATGTACGCGCTTGGACCAACGCGTGGTCACTATCCAAACACGTACTCCAGAAGGAGAAGCAGTCTTCCACCGATCCTCTCAAGTGTGGTCTGTATGAATTCAACGCTGAGTTGAGCTCGGTGGACGCCACACCAGACAGTGTCTTTCTTTGTGTCTGAAATATGTGCAAGCTAAAAATAGGCGGTTATCTGAGCACAGCTGTAGTAGGCGATCGCCGTCATCTCTACCATCAGCCGAGACTCCGAAGGCGCCACTTAAGTGTCTTTCTGCCTCACTCAGTCTACACATCTGTGCATTGAGGTCAGCTGCAGCAACCACCACGTCCGAACGTTTGGCTTTCGAAAGGAGGATAGGCAGTTTACGGTAGAACTCGTCCTCCACTTCACCAGAATGGTCGAGAGAAGTCCGGTGAATAACCGGACTTGGGTCCTGTATGCGTGTCTCACCAACACAGCAAACATCCATATCCCGAGTTGCTAGAGTCTTTACCAGCGAAGCTTGGTGACCAATTTGACGGAGAATGCGAACATTGAAGGCCCCAATATGTAATTTGGAGCCTGGTTTAAGAAGACCAAGGATGCTGTTTTGTGGACTCAGATTGTTATCGAAGGCTGCAAAGCTAGAAAAAATTTAAGGTGATGTGGAATCGTTAGTTGAGAGACATGAAGGAAGTTCAGAAGGTTATGATGGGGGAGGTGGATAGCAGTCTGAGGAAACTTGAGTGCTGACAGAGTTTTGAGGGCGGTTGACACTTCCTGGCTGCCTGTACCATGGAAGGCTATTTCTTCTTAAGGTACCTGAAAGAGATTTATGTGACCTCAGAGCCCATCGGACATCTGCTTCACGCCTGTCACACGTAGCCTTTTGTGTATGGTTGTTTTGAACTTTTGTATTTTTGTGGCCGGATGATCGAAAAGACATGACAAATGAACCAACATCACCGGCCCGGTAGACCGTGGGGCATGGTGGAGTGTGCTATTTTTGGGGCAGACCTTTTCTAAACTCCCTTCCATTAAGAAGTCAGCATCAGCATGGCACTGCTGGTCATCCAAGGGAAACACCTTACTGCTGTCACACCCCATCCATCTAGCAGCAGTATGACTTCGCCTTCAGACAGACCCCCATCATAGTGTAGCAATTTACACTATAACGGTAACTGCTTTTCGTGTAACCACTATCCAACTGACCTTTCTGGTTTGGTAGGACCTCGAGAGAACAAGTGTTCCACCAGCATAACTCGCTGGGTCATTCTGATATGCAAGCCCGACCACCACTTCAAGTTAGCAGCTATCGGTCGTGTTTTTACAGACTTATATAATTTAAGCATCCAAGCAATTTACTAAGAAGGTATGTTCCGCTAGAGTATTAGGAAGATGTCAAGATTCTGACGACACCGCGAAGAACTATTTAGCAGAAGAGCTGATGATGTCTTTTGCTTAACATTCAAAAACTATTTATAATGTCTTCCGTAAAATAAGGCAGCCGTCAGCAATATATCCTGTAGAGTACATAAATATGTATATTACAACAATTTTTATTGCTGTGGGGAGTTTATTTCACGTCTTGATATATATTTGGATGGCATGAAATTGGTAGGAAATGCATCTCTCTGTCTAACAAAGCTGAGACTGTTACTAAAGAAAGTACCTCGAAGGAAATTTTAAAACAAACTTCACCAACATTGAGAGATGATGTATATCTCATGAATATACGTCAGTCAAGATAAGCAGTAAAAAAATTGCAACTGGATTTGGTTTTTCGCCTCACACTGCTATCAGAAAAGACTGGTGAATTCACTTAATCGGACAGCATAACCTTAAACTTCTTTGAGGCATTTAAGTTGTTTAACACTTTAAAAGGAAACATATATACATTTCAAAGAGAATTTTCATTTTATGAACTTCTTCAACTTCAACTTGGATATTTTTGATAAGTACGACGTTATTTCATCACTAAGAAGTTATCGTCTACAAGCAGTTCTGATTACTAAACTAAATATCTCTCAGTTTCTCTTAAATAGATATTTCATTAATCGAACATGTTATCAAAAACTTATTACCTACACGCTTTCAAAGGTGAATTATTTGTTGTCTGTTTTTATTTGGAAGACATTGTCAGATAAGGATATTTATTAAAATAATTTTAAGTGAATTAAAATTAGCTGTTTCTGTGCATTAATAATTCGTGAAATATGTTATATTTTGAAGAAGATTCATTGAGAATAATGACCTCATCAGTTAAAATTAAGTATGTGTAAATTTATCATCATTTAAAGTTCTTTTTTTTTTGAATAAAATTATTTTGGACAATATTCTCGTAGGTACGTTATATTGTCATATGTATATAGTTCAGTTTTTTAATAAGAAAATGTAATCAGTTCATGTGGAGTCTAGTAAAAAAAAGTCCGACAGGATTGTGTGTTCCAAAATACAAGACTTATTTATAGAAACTTTCTTTTATGGACAAAATAAAATAATTTTTCTCTTGTTAGTATGTGTACTAGTGTGCCTTATCTGCATCAAAAGCAAGTGTAGGCTGTGAAATTAGTTAGGATTCCTAGACAAAAAATCACTTTGATAATAAACTGATATGAACTGTATTGTCATTAGTGACCATTAAACAAATTCTGGAAAGTTGTTTCGTAATGGTGCTTAAATTATCTGCAGAGTACACTCATTACTTTGTTCCCGGTAAATTTAAACATAATGCGAATAATGTTGATAGCATCTTATAAGTTCTCATATCAGAGATGTTATTACTACTGCATTTAGTTGAAGTTGACTTATTGTCTTTAATATCCAATAAATACGATGAGTAGTGTGTTTGTAAAATTAAGGCGAAAATGTGGTGTAAACTGCATACCAAAATCCATATGAAATCATTCACTGAATACAAGAATCTGACCACTGCAGTGAGGAACTTTGAAGAAACTTATACCTTAATAATATAACTTAAAAAATTTGACTTTGTCTTAGAAGTGATCTAGTCAGTTATAAATAATAAAGCCTAGCTTTACAATACTAGATGGAGAAATTTTTCACACATGAACTTACTCTTAACAAAGTAACTTTAAAGATTAAATACACCTCTGATTATCTATACAGAGTAGCGCATTTCTTAAATATGGTAAAATGTAGATAGTTGACCACGATATTTCAAATCAGTCGAATAATGTCTGTTTCTCATTTAACCAATACCATAAATAATTATATATATTGATCTAACTACATTTTGGACTTTGATGGCAACTTCCATTGTAACTTGTAGGGCATACGGCTTAGCTATTTCACTAAAAGCTACTAATTTGTATTCTTCAATCACTGGAGTTCATTTTCCATTCTGTTTATATTGATAAATTTCTGGCTATAATATAATTGAATTCCCAGTTATATGAGGTTTATTCATACTAAAAAGTATGGAAAGTATTTGTACAGTTGTTTAGTATTTGATGAAAACCAAGAATGCTTTCTAGTAATAACAAAACTAAAACCAATCATTGTCCATTCAGATGTAAAGTAGCATAATTCCATCTCCAAAAAAAAATGGGGTTAGCATGTTTTATCGTTCAGCTGATGTTTTCACACTTCTCCGGATCTGTAAATTTTAAAGAAATGTACACAATGCTTGAAGAAACTATTCATAAGGATTGAACCAGTGTTTTATTCACTCATCTAAAACTGCTAGCAAAGAAATAACATTATGATTTTCTAAAATTTGAAACGGTGCGCAAAATGCACATACTTTTTAAAACCTGTTGGTATTTCCTATTAATATGATGACATCAAATGAGATGTTGAACTTCAAAATCATTCTCAACAATTTTACTGACTAATTAAAACATGTACAGTCATTTTATAACATTCAAGCCATTTTTAACTATTAGTTGTTGATTTGGTAGGCCCAAACCATACTTCAAGTATCGAGATTTGCGCAGCAATTTATTATTTGTAGCTCATGCACTCCATATGTAGCGCTACCATGGTTAATGAGTGCATTTTGCATGTTACTTTGATAATAATTTTCCTTAAAACTGAATATAAAAGCTGTTATAAAAGATCAGTAAAAACTTTTTGCACGAATTTCTGTAATTATATACGATCTTAAGGCGATAATTTATTCAGTGGGTTGTTACGGCAGTTTCAAGAATAACTAATCTATGAGATTTGTGTTCACATTGCACAGGTTCCATTCATTGTTCACATTTTCTGTAATCATATGGAGGATCAAGATTATACTCTTCATATACTTGTAACAATCACGTTGATAACATTTGTAATGTTAATTTTGAGTTTTCAAGGTCCTTATCGAACCATTTCTTGATCAAAAAATTGTCTAACTCATAGTATATGAATTGTTTATTCTACTTCTGGCTTCAGGTTACTCAAGAGGTATAACCTTTTCCATCCTTGAATACATTAGATCAGCAGCTGTACAATGAGATTTCTACAAATTGTAATGATCGTTGTCTGCTTATCAACATCAGTTGTTTTATCCTTTCGACCTGGTCGAGTGTTTTCACTTATAAAACAACCAGGAATACATGATACAGATGATTTAGAATTGGATGATCCTTTATTATTTCAAAGGTTCTTTTACAGACAACAAGTTTCAAAGGATTCAGGTGATGGAGGTCAAAAATTTTATGGTAATTTGATGCGATATGGACGATAAATTAATGATTACAACATTTATGATAACCAAATTATACCAAAAACTTGTATTAAATGTTGAAAATGTCAAGGACAACAACCACAATTTTATGAGACCTATGTTTTAAAATATTTCCTTCATTTCTCACAATTTCATTCGAAATTGTCTACTTAAAATAAAATATATACCACAAATATAATTGTGATATCACTGATTTGATGATCTTTTGTGGGAGAATATTTGCAACAGTACTTAATATTTATCATTATTGTGTTTTTCATAATTATTGTAGAAAACTTATTCCAATTGAGTGGGAAAATATTGAAGAGACAGAAGACTTACACCTTGCACTAAGTCCGTCATTTGCAAAATGTACTTCGTTTCCTCTTCTGTTGCTCTCTTGATTTGCTTTTCATACATTCTTATCAGCAGCATCCACTGTAATACGCCTGCGTTATCCCTTGTATTGCTGTTGGCAGAATCCTTACCTATTGCTGGTAATTCCTTATGATTCCTGCCACTCTCTCAATATTCATTCTTATCAGCAACGCCTACTACAATATTAGTTTAGTTATTTATATAATATAAAGTCATTTAATACAGTCCGTGAACAGATAATGATTCTATGAAACAAGATTGCCCATTAGCTACCAGCATTTCAAATTTTAATTCTTTTCAGGGTAAGAATGCAACTAATAAATTAGAATCGTCATTTATCACACTGTATGTCACAATTTTACTGTTTACACTTGAATAGCTAAAGCAGGGAAATTAATTACTAGATTGGTCAATAAACATTGTAAGATTCTTTTCAAAGTTTCAGCATAATACTCATGGATATCTTACAAACTAGGGCAGTATAATTAAATAGTTGAGGCATACGAAGTTATCAGAAATGATTATAGAATATGAATGTTTACACAGTCTCTGTAAGAGCTGAATTGATTTATTATTACTACGAATAGTCTGATCTGGATAACTTTGTATTCTTGCACTGAGTAAGACTATGAAAATATGAACATGGACAGCATTTTCTGTGAAATGTCATGCGTCTAACATCTTTCTGAAGATTTTTATACTGAAGTTATGGGAATCAGTGAGGAGGGAAATATATGTTCGAATAAACACCAATCGAAACTGAAATTTTGATGCTGAGCAAATATTTTCTCTGAAATTAAGGAAACAGTACCGCTTATTGATATGCCACTGCCAGGAATGTCAACTGATTGAACATCGCCATTCACGTAAAAAAAACCTAGTTATAGCTTGTAGCTCAGCGAACAGGTTCGAAGTACACCTGCTAAAAGTTATCGATGATCTTGATTGCAATCGAGGGAAACTGACACCTACTATTTACGCTACTGTAATTTAGTTGGGAGGAAATTTAAAATGATTTAAATAGTATCATATAACTGTGTAACTGAAAAAAAGATTACAAATTTTCAGTGTAATATCCCTTAATCTCTCTGACTTTATAAATGAATAGAAATCAAAACAGTGGAAAAATCCATATTTCTGACTCCCTGTTGTAGGATTATGATCAGCAACCAAATTAAACGTCTTGTATAAGAACTTGTGACCTACTAAAACATGTTACAAACAAGAAGCTGCTAACTAAGTGGTTAGTAGCTTTTATTGAGGGTGGCTACATCTGTTTCCAAAAGGGTTAGACTAATGTTGAAGTAATCTGTATTCCCAACTGGGTGGTCATTATTTCACAAAATACAGGATTAGTTGCTTCGTGAATGCAATCACAAAGTGGCACTTGCGACAGGCAGGTTTACTGGCCTTAAAAATTGAGAAGTTTTCGAAGGAAGTCAAAATTTATGCCATTCCATCTGACTAGGTTTTTCAAACCTTGCACGTGAATCACTAGAGTGTGATCAATTTCACTTTATTTGGCCTTAACTGCCGACTGAATTCAAACGGTTAATTTCCAGGATTTACATATGTGTTGAGGATGACTCTACTCACCAAGAGTATGTATATAGTGTTGATTCAATCACCCATGTACGTGAAATCAAGGTTAGGAAATTTTGTGTCATTTTTTTGAAAAGTGCGTTTCAGTCCCAAAACGTCTATTAAGCTAAGAGCGCTTTGATTTTTTTTTTTATAGTGTCTTCGAAATTGGGAAAGTTACGGGAGTAAACTTTCTTAGCATTGGGTCCAGAGTAAATCCTAATTCTGATGTTCAAACTCATGTGTAGAATGAAAAAGTTGCCAGGCAGCATAGTTCACTGCTTATCTGTTTTGAAATCAATCAGGTACTTAATGGATTAGTGGTAACAGGCGAAATGTTTACTCAAACTGTAATGTCACATTGTAGTGAGGCATGATGACTGACAGAACGCAAAATGTTTTTGAACTCCGATGTTTTTAAGAAATTGAATTGTTTGATTTCTTTATTCATGACTGTTTTCAGGTTGATCCTATTTTTTCAAATGTGTGTTTTGCAGTCGATAATACAGGATAATATTCAGATCCAATCACACTTCAATTCATGTTCTGATCCATTCGTCTTTATCCTTATACTAACAAATGCACACAACTTTCGATTTGTAGACAGGGAAGACATGCAACGTTTTAGGTATTGTTTACGTTTGTTGTGGAACATGGATTACTTCGTAGTCATTATTGAGGAATAGATAGCACAAAAAATGTCTCCAAAACTGACTAACTGCATAATTTCAACATGGTACCTTTTGATCAGCATCTAAGTCATGAAATGCGAACTCTTTTCTTAAGGCATCTGTGCAGAAAAAGTATCGCATTTTATCATTTTAATACTGACTAGTACCTTTTAAAAGGTGTGTGTATAATATCAGCATTTTGGTTAGCCACCCTACTTCTGTGTTTGTTTTATATCCTGTACAAATGATTTCCATACCATCACCTAGACATTTTATTTTTAAATAGAAAAACTAAACGTGATGATTTTGATGTAGTTCTGTGTACGTTATCCTCTTGTCAGAGGACTGTGCTAGATTTCATATTAAAAGTGTAGCGACCAGCTGTTTTCAGGTCTTTGACCAACATGTAGAGAATTTGCAAGGGAAATTGAAGAGAAGCGTGAATAGTTTTGTCAGTAACCACGAGAATCTGGAAGGTCAAAGTTAGTCAGTGACCCAGCAAGCACAGAGAATATACCTACATATGAACATAAAAAACAACAGTGAACGGTAATAATTCACAACTAGAAGAGAAGGGCTTAACATAGAAGTAAAACTTGCTCGCTGTGGTAGACTGTAATTTCATTCTGGTCTGTTTATTCAGACCATTCTAACCGCCGCATTGTCCAAACAACTCATCAACACCAACTAACTGTAAAGTGACATGGCGTAGTTTCTTTAGTTTCAATCCACGTGAACAATCACAGTCGCGAATTAGACTTGGGGAATACAGAAGTCCTCCAGAGAGTAGTTTCGAAAGTTAAAACAGAGTTTCTTGAAGCCTATCATTCTGATGAAAAGTCAGTCAACAAACGTATGCAAATGGATGTAATCTACAATCTACTAAGGAGTCAAACAATCATTTGTCAATAGAGTACAGACTGGACGAACAAATCAGTAAAAAGGTACAGTCGGATAGAATAAAAAGCAGAGACTATCTCTCAGTGTAATCAAGTGAAAAGTAAGATAAAAAACATCAAGATGTGAAAGGCATCTCTTCCCAAACTTGCAATTAGGCAACACTAAATGTCAGAAAAAATGCTACCCAAACATTTGTGTAAGATTTAAATATGCTTCATTTTTTTATGAAGTCAGGAATAGTCTTGGTATCAGGATGCCTCAACTAGCTCTTCTTATTTTCATGACCTTAACATCATTACGTTCATTTCGAATAGTGGATTCATAATGCGTATACTATATGCTTAAATAGAACTTTTGTTTCGTACGAATAAAATGCAGTTATTATGAGTACTTTGCAAGCTCTACGTTCAATGCTGTGAATATTATAATGTAACAAAAAGGCACAACTCAGCCATTAAACTCATGAGTTTATTATAAACCTAAATGCTGTCTTTATGATAACCAATTTCATCATGTTCCTTTGTAATCAGTAGATATGAAGCCTGTAATTATGTCAGTGTGAACAGCAGGAATTCAGTGTATCGTGATACTCCATCAACTAAACCATGTTGAAATATAAGATTTCTTGATGATTACAAACAGGACTATCCAGCTGTCTACATACTATACCTTTCAAATTTTACATACTCTCTATTTATTACTGTACCCCTTCCACTATTTGTGTTTACCTTGTCTTTAATTATTTACTGAGAAGAGTTAAAAATATTTTTTAGGTTGATAATTAGTTTAGATCCACCAGTAATTAAAATTGTTAATGAAACTTACAATGTTTTGCATTGATTTTAAAAACTGTGCGAATTTATGAAAAGTCAACAATTTCGCTAACAATTATTTAGTATTTTATGAGGAGTATCTGAATCCAAATATTTTTTTTCAAATACTGCACCATGTGTGTGTGTGTGTTGATTTTATCTGCCATGACATGAAAAGTAAAGCAATTAATTCTTATAATTGATAGTGATTTTCCATTTGAATAAACAATTTAATTTGACGAAATTGAGCATTTACATGAAAAGCAAGTTAGGCACAGGTGGGTAATAAGTTAGGGAATTGTAAGCTTAGCGGAAAAATAAAAGTTATAATACTAAGACCTTGAAATAATTTTTCTCTGCGTAATGCATTGAAATATCTCTGTACGAACTAACTTAAACACATGATGAGATAGCAACTTGTTGCGAAGATATGATAAAGTTGATTTTATGTAGAAGTAATGAAAAACAAAACGGCGCCAAAAGTATTCATCTAATCATGATATATTTTGATTGCATTATTCTGAATTCTTGGATACTACCATCATGTTTGTAATACCGCCTTGCTGGTCATACCGAAATCCGTAAAACAAATAAAGACAGAAAACAAATTTACCAACGCTGAGTAGAAATGAACATGAAACAAATCCACTTCAAAGTGGCTGAGGGTTAGGATCGGAGTGAAATCAATTTCATCGATTTCTTAGTAGAACGAGTAGAAGTTTTGTTGTAATATTGCAGTGTAAATGCCATTTCAAAATTTTTCGTTACCAAACTGTTGCAAAATTATTTTCATGTTCATTGCACTCAGTGACCTCATTCATTAGGTGGTATCATCTAAATTATTGATGTAAAATTTATTTCATTATCGTATGTCAAGAGAGGCCTTCATTAACCTGAAACCAGTGTGGAGATCTGCTGCACTGCAGTCAGCATAAGGAACAAGATCCGGATTTTCAATACTAATTCAGTCAAGTCAGCGCTTCTATGTGATGGTTCAGAGACTTGACGCATTTCCAGTAAACTGCAGAAATATATCAACAGCTGTCGTCTACGCTCATTCCATACTCAAGATCAGATGGCCAGAAAGAATAAGCTAAGAGGAACTCCGGCCTGGTAACGGACCAACGAAGCAAGAACCCATCGCCCAACAAATACGTAGAAGAAAGTGGAGATGGATTGGATTGGTCATACACTGAGAAGGCCGATTGGGGACATCAGGCCAGACCGTCGAGTGGAATGCAAAGGGGAAACGACGAGTTGGGCGTCCAAGGTGAAGGTGACATGGAGGAGATCGTATGAGGAAAAAATGAAAGCTTCTGGGCAGTCGTGGGGCCAGGTTAAGTAGACTGCAGAGAAGACAGTGAGATGGTGACGTGCTACTGAAGTCTTTTGTTTCACCAGGAACCCAAAGGACAAATAATAATAATTTTATGTCACTTTAGGCAAGTGGAATTATGTTGGAAGTAAAAACACCCAGTCTACTAACATCGTTTCGTACTTTAGTTGAGAAATCTTCAGTATTTCAAACCCCTAACTGTTTCGGGTATATAGCCAGAGATTTTTAGGCATCAATAAGATCACACTGCCGCCGTTTTACTTTAGAATTTCTATTTGTATCAACTCACAGTAAACTGTCTCTTTCCTTCACTTTTTTCAGACCACTTACTTCCTTGACAAACGAATCGACTTTCACAAGAAAATTAAAGTGTGCATGCTTTAGGTGTAATTTGTTATGAGTATGCATTCTCTTATAGGAAAATGAAGCACGTCTAGATATTCAAATTTAAATAAAAGTATGAGGATTGTACTTGCCAACTGCCAGATAATTGCACTGAGAATTTATGAAGGTATGAGCATGTAGGTACGGGGAAAAGAATAAATAGTGTTCTGTGTAATCTCTGCTAAATATTGCTCAGCAAGATATGGTGAGTCACTTTTATCGGATTTCAACATAAAGGTTCCGAAAAATTTGAATTCTTTCCCTTGTTTACAGTGACTAAATACAGGTTTCTCCAAGGCCGTATTTCACTGTGTGTTGCAGTTTCAAAATCACAAAATAGGCTCCAAAGAATCGGTTTTGAGATGTGACGACAAGTTCAAAGAACTAAGAAAATGGTTGGTGAATTACAGCCTTTGTAATCTAGGAGTCTACCTTCAAGGTTAAATTAACCAGAAATATTCCAGCAAAAACATGATTAGGCCGATATTATTGCGACTTGACTACACCATCACTTGTAAGGATGGCGGTAAAGTATAAAACTAAAACGTTGTGCTATCTTAGTTAAATGTTATCGGTTACCTAAATCCAATTAATTCCTGCGAAATTGGCGTATCGAATTATGCTTGTTCTTTGTCGTCAGTAAATAACAAATGAACCTGTATTGGAGGTCCGTAGAGTTCATAAAGGTGAAAGAATTAAGTTAAGTGGCGTTAGTTTCGTTTAAAAAGGAATTATTTCTCTCTCCCAAGGAACTATAATTGGAAACGTTTATGTCAACAAAATGTTTTAGTTTTCTTCAGTATTTAATTGTTTATAACCCAATAAGTGTTTCTGCAGTAGTAAAATCTGAGTTTATTTCCGCTTGGTAGCATGTGAAATTTTCGTCTGTAGTTCTTTCAGTGGAAAAACTACTGATGCTTAGAAAAACTTGTGCATTAAGTATATATAGTTACGTTGTTTGAAGAAAGTAGCCGCAAACTTCAAGTAACCTAGCAACTCCTTCTTGATGAATTTTGAAGTTACAAAGAAGAATCCTGTTTACAGAATTATGGTAGAACACTTTACTTGTGCTTCCTGCTCCGACATTTGATCCATTTTACTTTTATTTAGATTCATGTGCATTTTCAGTTAGCGCGTACGACGTAGTCAGCGCTATTTCATCTTCAGTTGAATGGAACGGCTATTGGGTCTGTTACAACAGACAGAATAAATAAATAAAAAATGAGATAGACGTCAACAACCGCAATATTTTATTAATTTTAAAGGATATTTTACTTAAAATCTATTTGATAGTGTCACCGTATAGCACAACTCAATAGTTCCTTATTTACTCATCACCCAGTTCATCACGTGAAATGATCGCAAAATAAGTGCATGTTAGGCAAAACTGATTGTCCTGTAGGATCTAAATTTCTGCTTAGGAAGTTAATTATTTCATTTTAATGAATTATGGTGCGTTGTGGTCATCTAATTACTTTGTATATATGTGTAGCTGAGATGTTAGTCAGTTCAACTGCAAAAGCTCTGCTCTGCACCAAGTTTTCGATGCCATTTCTCAACATGACTCCTACTTTGATTCCTCAAAATTGTTGACCAGGTCTATCAATGATCTCATCCTTATTTACTGGTGTGCAAAAATAGTAAATTTCTAACTTAATGTAGTCTCTAACCTCTCCTGGTTAAATAGTTCACTAGTTACTAGCCGGTCTTAAGCCTAGATAAAAAGGGAATGCTGGGCATAGGGCTAGCAACCCTACACCGGAAAACGAATTCAATCTCTAAAGAAACTTCAAAGCACGAAGAAAATATAAAAAATAAAAATGAACTTATTCCTCGCTAGAATCGGAGGAACGAAACGACTTCGGTTGGGAAGTCAATTGGCCGATGTGTCTTCTCTTCTCTCAGTGAAAGCGAAAGTAAGAATGGGGACATGGAATGTCCGAACAATGTTTGAAACTGGCTGACAAGGCTGCCAGATTGGAAAAGATATGTGAAGATATAGCATAGAAGTACCAGGAATATGCGAGAGCAGATGGATTGGAAGTTGACTCTTTAAACTGTTAACTGGAGAGGAGTCAATAATCTACTCCGATATTGTCACTCACACGACAACCACGAGCACGCTGAGTTTTGGAGTGGCTATCATGATGTCCCCAAGAACATTGAAGGCTCTCATGTAGTGGGAACCAATCTCCTCCAGCATCAGGATCATGACAGCAAGGTTCAACTCAAAAAAAAGGGAGGTCACAATCATGCAATGCTACACTACGCACCTACAAATAATGCAGAGCAACAGAAGCAGGAGGAATTCTACAGATAACTGCAATCAACACTGGACAAGACCCTAGCCCAGTTGGCGATATCAAAATTCTAATGGGTGGGATGACATGAATGCCAAACTGGGAGCAGACAGCAAAGGAAGAGAACCAATCATGAGTCAAGAAGTGCTCGCTGAAATGAACGAGGATGAAGAACTGTTTGCAAACTTCTGTGTATTTATTTATTTGATGATTGGAGGCAGTGTGTACAAACACAAGGATATTCATAAAGCGACATGTATTTCGCCGAATGGGTACACTAGAATTCAGGTCGACTTCATTTCAATCTCACGAAAGTGGAGACACAGCCAGCCTACTGGACACAAGATCAAGAAGAGGAGCAGATGCACGTTCAGACCACTCTATATCTAGTGCAAAAAACCTTTAAATTCAAGTTGACGGCCTTCAAAGAAGATGGTGATAGAGTACAGTTCAAATGCAACACCCAGAAACTGAAGGACGAAACTACAAAGGACATCTTCACGTCAGCTATCAGGAAAAAATAGGAAAACAGACACAGAGACAAAAGCGGACATGCTCACACCACTACTACAGAAGGTTTGGAAGGAAGGAGAGGTGCCTGCTGATCGACTGGAAGAAGGGCTTCCTTGTCAAACTCCCAAAGCACGGAGACCTAAACTTTCGCAAGAACTGGGGAGGAATCATGCCACATCATACTGTCAGAGATTAATAGGTGCTCTGGATTCAAAATTACGACGGGGACGGGCTGGCTGGCTTCAGGAAGAACAAATCATGCACGGATCAAATCGCAGCGCTACACACCATCATAAAAGAGAGTATAGAATAGCAGTCAACTCTCTACCTCAACTCGACTCTGAAAAAGCCTTCGACAGAGCTGAAAGAGAAGTAATTCTGCAGTTGCTTCGACGC